CCTATACCATTTCAGACAAATGGCTGTCCAGTCTCTTCTTAAAAACTTCCAGTGTTGGAGCATTCACCGCTTCTGGAGGCAGGTTGTTCCACTGGTTAATTGTTCTCACTGTCAGGAAGTTTCTCCTTAGTTCTAGGTTGCTTCTCTCCTTGATTAGTTTCCACCCATTGCTTCTTGTCCTGCCTTCAGGCGCTTTGGAAAATAGCTTGACTCCCTCTTCTTTGGGGGAAACCCCTGAGATATTGGAAGACTGCTATCATGTCCCCCCTCGTCCTTCTCTTCATTAGACTAGACATACCCAATTCCAGCAGCCTTTCCTTATATGCTTTAGCCTCCAGTCCCCTAACATATTTCTCTCAAAAAGATACCAAAGATTTGTCACAGTTAAACTTCAGTCCTTGTATGAACTCACGATTCTTATTTGTCTGATTTCCTCCCCCCCCCACCCAAAGCTAACATATAGTACCAGGTGGGTGGAAGGGAGGAGATGTGTTTTTTTATGCTGTTTCTTTCAGCTTTATAGCCCTCACCTTCTCTGCTTCAGTTTCAAGGACACCATTGTCAATGCAAAGTACGGGGGACACACAGAGGCTGTGCGACGGCTCCTGGGTCAGCTTCCCATCAGCGCACAATCGTACAGTGGCAGCCCTTACCTTGACCTCTCTCTCTTCAGCTATGATGACAAATGGGTTTCGGTCATGGAACGTCCCAAAACATGTGGTGACCACCCAATCAGGTACAATGCCACAATGCCTCGATTTCCATCGTTACATTAGAAAGAACAAGTCGTTGCACGTCGTTCGATAGGAGACAGGTAACCATAAGGTTTACGTCTCATTAATCGGGGAATTAATAGGGTCCCTGGCTTGATCCACCATAGGCTGCAGGCAGTCCTCAACTTAACGACCACAGTTCAGCCCCCAAATTTATTTTGCCAGGTGAGGAATTTGTCAGCGGAGTTTTGCCCCATTTTGCAACGGTTCTGGCCACACTTGTTATAAATGAACCACGGCAGTCGTTAAGTTAGTCCGACGGTGGTTAAGTGAATCCGGCTTCCTCATTTTATTCGGCTTGTCAGAAAGTCGCAAAAGGGGGAATCACGTGTCCCCGGGACACTTCAACCGTCGCAAATTCGAATCAGTGGCCAAAGCGTCTGAATTTTGATCCCGTGACCGTGGGGATGCTGCAGCAGCCGTAAGTGTGAAAAACGATCGTGCAGAAGCCATTTGTTTTTCAGCGCCCTCGTAACTTCGAACGGTCCCTAAACAAAACTGCTGTAAGTCGAGGACTACCTGTATTCTTACGTTTAATTTAGTGTGGTTTTATTCAGCTCTTTGGTCCCCCCAAAAAGGCTGCCAGACTTGTTTACCCAATGCCCAAAGTGAGATAGGTCTTCTTGAGCTTCCAGATCCAAACGTCGTCCCATAGCGAAAGTTGGTGAGGAAGGAAAAGACAATAGATTCCAATGCCTTCCCTCCCACCCACCCCCCACCCCCCCGTTACAGTTATCTGGTTGCAAGTGAAGCTGCGTAGCGAGTCAACCGTGACACTTGGCTTGACTGAAGAATTCTGGGAGTTGAAGTCCACAAGTCTTAAAGTTGCCACGGTTGGAGACCACTGGTCTAGAGTCTTCCTCCCTTTCGATCTGCTTTCAACAGCCACCGTTATCGTTTTCCCTACCTGACGGAAGTTTATGCCCCATCTTCTAGGTCAGAGGTCCCCAACCTTTGGGGCACCAGGGACCGGTTCCGTGGAGAGAGGTTTTTCCACGTACCAGAGGGTGCCTGGTTTTGTGTGGCGCCTGCATCCCGCGGATGGGGACTTTGCTTGTTTGTTTGGACTGGTTGCTGGCATGCCGCGACCGGGTACAGGTCCACGGACCGGGGCTTGGGGACCCCTGTTCTACTTCCCAGTTCTATCTGTTCCTCATAAACTGCTCCAATGCCAATTCTCAACCCTTGTGGCACCCAACAAATGAGCTAATTTGATTGTCTCCCTTTAGGCCTTTCTTTATTGACATGCTTGAGTTCCAGCATAGGTCTCCATCCCAAGGCTTCTGCCTTTTTGCCACTCTTTGCCAAGAGTTCTTCTCTTTTTACTCTCGTGCTGGGCTGGACGGAAGACGGCAGGTCTTTTGCCACCCCGTTCCCCACCCACCTTAAACCCGCTGCCAGGAGATTTCTTAGCTGTCCCCTAGCCTGGGCCATTAGGATGAGCAAGAAAGCCTGCTGTTGACAGTTGAAGGGCCAAGACTTCAGCAGGCTGGAAAATGTCAAAAGGAAGCTTTTGGGGGAGGAGGGTTTTAGAAGCCAAACAGTATGGCAGGTAAAGTGTTCCCTTTTTTATAACAATTGGCCCCCGGGGGGAGGAGTGCTCTCCATTACCGTTCTTATTGGCACGCGTCTTGCATTTCGGTACCTTTAATTTTATTTTTTTTTCTCTGCTGCGTGCAAGGCAGTGCAAATGGCCTCTTGATTGCGGAGCACTTTTCCAAAAAAAAAAAAAAAATAGATTTTAAAAAATTACGAGACAGAGCCCTATCTTGGGAGATTACAGGGCACTTTTCTTGAGTAGGGCAAAATTGCCCTGAATTAGAATGGGAGGCAGAAAAACTCACAAAACGAAGTTTGCTCTCCTTCCTGGGTTTTTTTTTTTTGTTGTTGTTGTGTGTGTGTGTTTTTGTTCCCCCCCCCCCCTTCACCTACCAGCTTCACTTCCTGGAGAGAAAGGAGCCATTTACAAAGTCAGGCTAGCCAGATTGTTGCCCCTCTCCCTCTTTTTCTTTTTTTTTTTCCTTTTTTTTGTCTCTGAATTTGTCAGGCCAGCCGGAGGCTTTTAGGAGCAGAATATAAATAATGAGCGTTTAGAAAGAATGTGCGTGAATGAATGAATGCATGCAGCAGGCCACATTATGAAACCTGGAGGGTATATACTTATCCTGAGAGCATCCTCTTTCCCCCACCCTGCCTGCCTGCAGCCGAATGGTGTGTATATTTTGAAGGAAGGGGAGGTGTGTAATCTGCACATTAAGGGTTTGAGCAGAGAGGAGGATGCTGTGAAAATACTCACCTGCAAAAAAAAAAAAGAAAAGAAAAAGAAGGGAGAAGCAACCAGGAGATCAGGGTCAGTCTGTCTCTTTTATCTCCGTTTTATGAAGCTGTATTTTTTTTTAAAAAACCCAATTCCTCACGGCGTCCTTCTCGTGCTCAGCTCTCCTGCAAGGGTCTAGCTCAGGGGTAGGCAACCTCGGCTCTTTTATGACTCGTGGACTTCAACTCCCAGAATTCCCGAGCCAGCCGTGCTGTCCGTGAGTCATCAAAGAGCCGAGGTTGCCTACCCCTGGTCTAGCTGAATATCTGCGGTCGGAAGCCAAGGTTTGACAGCTTCCAAGCGCAGACTCGATTTGTATAGGACTGAGCTGGATAGTGGACAGTCCCTTTGGCCCTGAGGGTCTCTCTGCTTCACTTGACTTTACTTTTTTCCCCTTAGCCCCAGGCGTGTCAAACTCGTGACGTCGCGCGACGTAGCGGAGCTTTTTCGCCCTTGCTGGCAACGGGGTGGACGCGGCTCCGGTATGATGAAACCGGCCTGCGGGCCGGCAGTTTGACACCCCTGCCTTAGCCCAACATCGCTCACGGTCCTCTTATTGGGGGAGGGAATTTTAAATACGCTGCCTTGAGCTGCTAGAGGAAAGGCAGGATCTGAGCAACAATGGATAATAACGTGCTTAAATTCCATCACCAGCTCGTCTGGTAAAAAGGCAAACTTTCTTTTTTTTTTTAATTGAAACTTTTTAAATAGAGGTGTTTGAATGGTCTTGTCCCGTTCCCTGTTTTTTGTCTTTACCTTGGTCAAAATAGCAGGGTCTCTTTCTTTGCTTAACTGAATTGCATGAGATTGATGTTTATTGAGTTCCATGTGCCTAAAGACTGGCCATCCAGCATCTTCTCTCTCTCTCTCTCTCTCT